CCAGGCACTGGCACATCACGTCAACCACTTCACTGAGTTGGCACGGGGCGGACAGATACAACTGGGTATCGTCCGCGTACTGATGGTATTTTATCCCATGCCACCGAATGATCTCGCCCAACGGCTTCATGTAGATGTTAAACAGGAGGGGGGACAGGACCAAACCCTGTGGGACCCCATATTTCAGGGGCCTAGGGGTCGACCTCTGCCCCCCCCAACCAACATCACTAGAAGTCTAACAACATATACATTTAATGATAAAGACACTATATCCTCCCCAACATCCATAATTTTATCCATTATCAATGATGTGCCTCCTTATTTTTTCCCTAAGCTAAGAAAAAGTACTGCAGACCTCTGAATAATTCTTGCCATTGCTGATTTGATAACCCATAATTCCTCACCTTTATTTTCTTTCTCCCTTTCTGTCACCCATTGGGAAGGCAATAATAGTTGATGTATTACTCACTTATTTGTTTTCTATAAACAAATCTGATTCAATACTGCTTCTATTTTTCAAATTAACCTATTCACTGGCCTGGCTCATATGTAGGAAAAGCATTTTGTCTGTGAAGCTCACGCCTTTTATTTCCAGCAAGGCTGCTACATCACGTTCCATTCCTCTTCTCTTCCCAGACCGGTCTCACAATGCACTTGGCATTTCCTTTCCATCTCCAAAAGAGATTTTCAGTGCGAGCTACAGAATAATTACAATAATGAAAAAAAAATACTATTTTATAACGCCAACAGAATCCTAAGGTTTGAGAGGGAATCACCAAGTGTAAACAGAAAAGAGAAACCCCTGGGGTGTCAATTGCTTGTTCCCCATCTCTAATAATTTTATGCCCTAGGAAAGGGAGGCAGGAGAGAATCTGGGATCCGGGAGAGAGCGAGTAGCAATGAAAGCGGGAAAGAAAGAAAAAAGAAAAAACAGCCGAACGAACAAGCCACATAATCGCCAAATAATTTCTGAAACCAGGCGCAAAAAAGGACAACTTATTAGCGCGCCGACTACAATGGAAGGACCCTGCCTGCCTCTCCCAGCCATTCAGCGTCAAGCGCCGGTCGGGAAAGAAAGCCCTCAGCCTTCTTGTTTTTTCTATCCCACCTTTTCTGGTTCTTTTGTTTGCTCATCCTTCTCCCTCTCAGCGAGGGAGTCGCTGCAATGCCGCTTTACGAGGGTCTCGGCAGCGGCGGGGAAAAAACCGCCGTGGTGATTGATCTGGGCGCGGCCTTCACCAAGTAAGATAGTTTCCTTCTCCCCCTTTCTTTCCGCCAAATCGCTTTAAACCTGCTTTTTGTGCACCTGTTTTCCCTCTCTCGCCCTCGTGTTTTATCTATCAGTTGGTTTTATACGGCATTGCTACGCACTCTTTGTGCTCCCACTGCGCGTTGCAATTGTATTCCACCGCCACCATCGTCTCACTTTTTCCCAAGAGGTTGAATGAAAGGATAGGTTTACCCCTTACTGATCTGGATCTACTCATGACTGATCTAGATTTACTTATGACTGATCTAGATTTACTCTACTGATCTAGATTTACTCTATTCTGGACTTACTCGTTGCTGATCTAGATTTACTCATTACTGATCTGGGTCCTTAATCGTGCTTGAATAAATAAGAGCTGATTGCATTCCCAGAATCGTTGACTCCTTTCTATCCATAATAGCTGTTTTGCATATGTTAGCCCAAAATCTGATGAACCGCATTATTATGCTGCAATGCAAGAATTTACCAATAGCTTGAGAGTTCATGGCTAAGACTAGCTGGGGTTGCCTTTGTACAATTTGTTTACAGTTAATTGAACCACAATATATTGAATTAATTTAATTGTTGAATTTCCAAAACCACAGCTGACAATCATAATGCAGTAGTTGGGTGCTTTTAATTACATTATCCTAGCTAGCCACCATATTTAATCTGGGGACAAACCCAAGTCCCAGAGTTCTAGTGATGAAACTTGTACTTATTAATTGACCAGGGACTGATTGACCATCTTGCCTGATTTTGCTTAGAAATATTCCAGATTGAGACACATTGCTTATGCAATGTGGTGCACAATGTAGTGTGGTGGTCTCTGAACTTGGTTGTTTTCTTTCAGGTGTTTTATTATTAATCTAGGTAACATCATCAATGCACTTATATATTAGTACACTATAAAAATGCACACTATTATAAAAGAGAAGGGAGGGAGAAAAGAGAAATGAGTTCCTGTTATCTGAGTAAGTCGTATATAAAGAATCTGGGTTTAAAATTCTATTTGTCATGTGCCATGTAAAGCAGATTTATTGTGACTACATTATATAAGCTATAGTTTGTGGGAAAATGTAATACTGCAGAGTCATACAATTTGAAGCTATAGCATGGCTTGAAATGACTGAAGTTATACATTACATTAACTAATGTGAGTGTTGGGTTTTGATTTAATATGAAATGTAAACCCAGCCACTTATCATGTTAACAAACATGGAGCCCTAGCTTTATAGTGCAGTTCACCATAGTAATCATTGTTTCTGATTATCACTTGTTAAGAACTTGAAATTACAGCTAATAGTTCTTTTAAAATTACAGCTAGTCATTGCTGGCTGCAAAAGATAGGTTCTTAGGTTTAGCCTTAGAAGAGCCATCAATCAAGAGCGAGATTGAGAATGACATCACACATAGTCCATTAATCTATTAGAGTACCTTAATTAATTGTATTAAATTGTGTTGAATTAGCCCCATCAATTCTTTAACTATTTTTTTCTATTTTTAAAGTCAGACATTTTTAAAATCTCTAGCCGAGATATTTTTTCTAAACCATGTCTATGAAGATACTTTAAATTTAAAATATCATTCTCTTCCCTTATGTGTGGTGGAATATATCCTATACTGCAAAATGACAGTGGGAAATGTTCCAATGCTCTTGGATATATAGAAATTCTTTTTGTTATTTTTAATATTACTTTGTATTTAGAAAATGTTAGTTTTAGTTTCCTTCTGGCATGAAGTATTTAAATTGTTTCTTACTGGATTACCAGATTGGTGCTACCATTCTGTTGTTTTGAATCTCTATGTATTGTAGTATTTTTAATTTTCCAGATGTGGCTTTGCAGGAGAAACGGGACCCAGATGTGTCTTACCTAGTGAAATAAAGAAACCTGGTGTTTCAAAGGTAATGTTTTAAGAAAATATAATTATGTGAGCATTAGAACAAATGGTGGAAATTGCCAATGGCAAATCAGTAAATATTCTAATTTAACTATGCTAGCAAATCTGGAGAATGTGGCTAACAGATTAGAAGAACCCAAGAATACACTAAGGCAGATGCTTGTCCACTCCAAGGATAAAATACCCAGACACAAACTGAGCAACATGGTATATGCAGTACAATGCAATGAGCCGTGTACAGATCTGTACGTTGGGGAAACAAAACAACCACTTCATAAATGCATGGCACAACATAGGAGAACAAACCTATCAGGACTAGGTTTAGCAGTCCATCTGCATTTGAAAGACAAAGGCCACTATTTTGAAAACAGCAAAGTTTGGGCAGAGAGGACCACTGGTTTGAAAGCAGGGTCAAAGAGGCCATCTATGTCAAAATTAAACAGCCCTCCCTCAACAGAGGGGGAGGGATACAACATCTATCTCCAATCTACAACATAGTCCTTTCAACAGTTCCAAGAAGGCTCCATGCCCGTTTGCACTATTCATGTTACCCTGGTGACACAGAAAAAACCTCCAGGTGATCTTAATGACTCACTAAAAGAATACAAATGACCAGCTGTCTGCAAGGAATTTAAATCCTTTCATTCCCATCTGATCAGAGCTTAAGAAGCTTCTTGGATGAGAAGCGAAATGTCTTCAAAGAAAAACCAGAAAGTCCAGTTGCCTCTTGAAAAAAACATATTTGGGATAACCGTGACCTAGATGATTGAGAATCTCCATAGACAAGCAGACTAGAAGAGTTCTGTCTACCTACCAATACAACTGTAAGAAGACTTAAGTAACCCAGTATGCAGATTATCATACACTATAATTAATTTCTATTGCTAGCAAAATAATGCTTAGGATCATCCATTGCAGATTAGAGACCAACATGGAAAGGGATTTCCCAGATTTTCAGCATGGCTTTAGAAAAGGCTGAGGAATAAGAGACATAATTACACCCTAAGTAAATGATGGGGGGAAATGGCAACAAGTGAACATACTGAAAAAATTGGAATGCACCGAAAAAATAGTGTGAGTGTAATATTTATTGATACAATAAATCATTGAAGCCTAAGCCTTGAGAGGATGATAAAGGTTTCAGGATCTTATAGGTTACAAATACTTAAATGTTGATTTATGAGCAATAAAATTCAGAAAAAAATATATTTAATTGTGCAGCAAAAGTATGTTAGTGGGGACCTCTGTATTTTTAATGACATTGTAAAAAATGTGATCACTTTATACTGTTAGGCACAAACAACCAGATCCACATGTATGGAGTTTAAGCTAAGTACTTTATTGTATTCTGCCTGTAATACAGGAATATTCCCAGACTGCTTACCTTGGGAACAGATAGATACGTTTTCGTGGAGTTTTGGGAGTGTCAGTTCCCCCACTCCTTGGGCATTTCCCAACAGAGTCTTATTCAAAGAGAAACTCATAAAATGCATAAATCTATCATTAATTAAATGGATTTTGAGTGCATACAATAATTAACAAATGCTAAATAAATTTTAAAATACTTAAAACTGCTACATTTTTTTAATTCACAGCCTATCAGAATTGTTCAATATAACATTAATACAGAAGAATTGTATTCATACCTGAAGGAATTCATTCACATGCTTTATTTCAGGTAGGAGATACTGCAATAAATATTTCTGTGATGGGTGGTTGGGATGGGTAGTCCCAAATTTTACAAAGAGATTGCTTAGGTATTGGATTAATTAAGATATCATTATGGTTGTGTTATGCATTGCAAAGCTTCCATTTTCTATCCTAGGATTTGATACTATTGTATAGCTACTATCCAAAATCTATAGTATTTGCTCTTAGAATTGTAAGAGATTTTTTGATATCTAATAAACCTATGCTTTCTCACCTTCTTAAAGCCCAACCAATATAAATATTTATAATAATCATCTTGGCTTGTAATACTCTGATGTAACAATGTGAAATCCAGGCATCATTGCTAGGGTCAAGCTGTCATCTATTTTAGTTGCATATTAGCTAGCTTGATTGTGAGTCCAGTTCTTGTAACTTACTTAACAAATTGGCTAAGCCTGATTAGTGACTCCAACTGCTCACTTCACTGGTATGGTTTATAGGTCCAAGTCATAATATTTTTTCAAGACCTTTTTTTTTAAATTACCATTTCTCAGTTGATCAATCTGGCTTAAGGAATGCCTTTCTCTTTAAAATGTTCATAAAAATAAAAAGAGACAAGATGTGGTTTGCAGTATAATTAAAAATGTGAATGTTATTTCCCAATTTAATTTCATATTTACATAAGCATCAAGCACAGATCTTCCTAGGATTTTGTAACTGCTTTCTAGC